TGTGGATGATGCCACCATTCACTGAGGAGTGACCCACGAGTAGGCTGGGAGTGGGGTACGGGTAGGGAGTGGGGTACAGGTAGGGAGTCGGGTGTGAGTAGACAGTTCAGAGGGAACACACACGATGCTTGCAGGACATCTAAGCATCAGTGTTCAGTCAAGTAGGCCCATGAGCCAGGAGCTCAGGAATCTGGGCTGGAGACTCAGACCTGGCAGTTGTCTCCAAGTGGATGAAGCCACCAGACAGGACGAAACCTGTGAAAGAAAAAATACGAAGGCAAAGGCAGGAATCTCAGTGTAACTGTGCAAAGTGAAGCAGCAGCATTTCAGAAAGAAATGGGATAGTGGGAAGTGAAAACTAAGAGCCAAACAAGGATCAACAACAATTACTAAAAGAATAAAGAACTATAAAAGCCCCGAATCTGTTAGCACAAAAAGCAAACAATAACTGATATGTCTGAGTCATCAAGAAAACAAGAAATTGTGTTCAGCACAGTTCACATTGTGGAAATATACATAGCACATTAAAAAAATTTTCTTCCTATACTTGTTAGAAATATTTCAGTCAGTAAAATTCAATTTGAGAGAACGCTTCCATTTTCTGATATATGGGTAAATGAATAATATGTAAATATATCAACACATATATTTTCATAGTTTTAGATATTCATAAGTGACTAACCGATACTAGGTAAGACAAAGCTTTTAAAACAGAGCTTAGGGGAAAGCACATGCTATCAGGTCTTCACGCCACAATGCTTTATAGAGAGATCTGCTCATGTGAGTCCAATTTTCTGTGCTCAGCGTAAGAAATAAGGACAGAGAACATGAGAAGCCAAGTGAAATCAAGGATATCTTTCCTCCAGTGCAATAAGGCTGGGAACATTCCGGGGGTGATTAAGCCTGATTTGTGTCAGGCCTCGGAATAAGGAGGCTTTTATTGAAGAGCTTATCTTTCTAGTAATTGTTGCACATTCTTCCTTTATAAATTGCCTGGGGCCTTATTTTATTTATAAAAGAAAACTGACGGGTTTTTAAAGAGCTATCTTGGCAACATGCCAAAACAGCTGATTCCCTGCCCCTTGGCTTAGGGAAAAAGTGCACTGGTCATTATCTCTCCTTTTAAACTGATGCTGTCCTGTCCCTCTGTCATCAAATTGCTCCTCCACATGTGCCTCTCACCACCGGGCTGCCAAGCCCATTAGAGCTGCAATGGAATGGGAAGTAAGGGTTACAGAGATGTTCTTGTCACCTCGGACCTGAATCTAACTGATGCACAGTGCCACTTCCAGTTAATTTAAAAATGATTCCAGGAAAATATTCCTCAATGCTTTGGCTGTTTGAAGGCTCAGAGCTTGACAGATGGACCATCTCTGCGAGACCGTGATGACTGTTCTGGGCCTTCCCGTAAGTACTATCGGGAAGAGGAAGCGGGGCTGGGTCTGCTGACATATGCAATCAGAATGAGAAATCAAAGCTTGCTTCCTGGGGCAGAAGCTGGTCACGATCCCTGGGAGCACTGGGATTAGATTAGGCAAGGACGCGGAGGGAAACGTCTTGGCCGCATTTCAGAACCCCCTGCAGATCACTCAGAAGTGGCCACCATGAAACAATCTGCCAGAAGACAAGATTTGTTTTCAATCTTTGACCTAAATCAATGAAAAGTATATAACAGGAAGTCTATGTCCTTTTTATATATCTTAGAAGTTAAAAACTTTTAAGGTTCTCCATAGTTTCATTTTACATATGGGGTTCTAGCTAGCATTCACTCTACAATGCTGCTTCATTTGAAACGACTAACACAATGTAGGAATACGTGAGAGTCATATGAGATACATAGGAATGTTGGTAAAAACTGAAATTAGCAAAGTCCAAAAAAAGAGATTTGCCTACAAGTAGCAAAAGCCCTCAAGTTGGTCATAAGGTAATATTTGATGTATTATAATTATTCTACGTGAAATGAAATTCCACAATGATTATGTATAAACAAAAAATAAATCCAAAATATTTCTAAGAATCTAAGAGCTTTGCTTTAAGTATTTCAACATGTTCCCTCTCCAGCCAGCAGATGTAGCTGTGAATTAAAATAGGGAATGTAAGCTGTTCTCGGTCAGCCATTAGATGGCAGCCTTTTTTTTGAACTGGGTTTATACTGGAGATCCAGTACAACTGAAGGCAGCCACCACCAACTGTTTGACACCGGAATTGATTCTGATTTACCTGCATTTATCTGGAATGGTCGTCTCAATTGTTTATTGAGCACACAGACCCAGCCATTTCTGTTAACATTTTGTTTTGCTTAGTCACTGAAAGATGACATTTTCCAATAAGAGGCAGTAAATACTAATAAAAGTTCACTGGATTCAGGGTAATCTCACAGTTATCATCAAAACTCCCTCAATGCAGGCATTCTCTAAATGCAGAGCTGAAAAATATCATATCGCTCTCTACAAGCCTGGGGCAGGGTCATAGAATAAGAATTTGCTTAGAAAGCCTTAAAACCTAAGCATTCCATAAGTCTACTGGGGAGCCCTGTCTTAGCACAGTGTAGGCCCACGAATGTCTTCTGAATGAACAAATCAATAAACACTACTGCTCTTAAAAGATGTTGACAAAGCTTCAGTTGTTCATGTTTCTGTGAGACTTTTCAGACATGGAGACCAAACCTATATGCCTAATGATCCACATGTAGGGAGAGTGTATTTGCAGTCTTTCTATTTAGTTAAAGACATAAAGATGCAATATAAAGCATTCCAGGTATTCTTATATTCAATAGGGCCAATCGGAAAAGAATTTTTCTCTCCTGTTTTATTCAGTCCCATATGACAAAGAAGTTCACATTGTAGAAACTAAAATAGCACAATCTAGCCCATGAAGCCCAAGTTCTCAAGCATAAAATTTAATTTAAATAACCTAATTTTGTTGGCATATGAAAATTTGTCAGCAAGGTTAATCAGACTAGGAGAAAAACAACATCTGTTTGTCTATTAGTATATTTTCAGTGAAAAGTACAATAATGCCTATGTTTAGTTATGATTAAGCCAAACGTGAACAATCCAATAATGCCAGTAATAATAATAATAATAATGCTTACTACTCCAGCCATCCTCTTCTCCCTTCCCCCCTGTACTGAAGCACTCCCATCAGCATGCACATACGCTATTAATTCTCCCAACTTAAAAAAAAGCGAACTCTCTTGACCCCACCTCCCCCTGTGAGCCATGACTCCATTTCTTTCTTTCCCTGAAGACCTGCTCACACACGCTGCCTCCAAACTCCTGCCTCCATTCTCTTAGATCCACTCCACTCAGGCTTTACCTCTTGATGGCCACCACATTGCTAACTCAGTGAACTACCAGTTCTCAGCTCACATGACTTTTCCACAGTGTACACCTCTGTGAAGTGCTTTTTTCACGTGGCATCCAAGTCACCATTCTCCTGGTCCTCCCTACTTCTTCCGTAGGGAAATCTCCTTTGCTACTCTCTCCCCACCCCCGAACTCTGACCTTGGGGAGTGCCCAGAAGCTCCCTCCTCAGACCTCTTCCCTCTTCTCTATTCTCTCCACATTCACTGCCTGAGGGAGCTCACCTGGTTTCCTGGCTTTAACTACTATCTATATACCTATGAGTCGCAAATTCACATCTTCACCTTGCACCTCTGCCCTGAATTCCAGCCTACAGCTAACTGCTTACTTGACTCTGCACTTGGCTATCTAAGAGACATCGCAATGTCTGACCTCCTGACATTAACTAACGCCTGTTCCTATCGCACTGGTCCCCATCCATTGTCCAGTTGCTCAAACCAAAAGCCTTGGAGACATCCTTGACTTCGCTTTTTCTCTCATTTTTTATATCCAATCTGTAACAAATCCTTGTTGACGCTGTCTTTGAAATATATCTAGAACCTCTTTTCATCACTGCTGCCACTTATTCCAAACCACCATCAATATTTACCTGTCACAAAGAGCCTGGTCCAAGAACTTCCTACCAGGAATTTAATAACAAAGAAGCCAGTCATTTCGAACGTAGAGCTCTTTAGCTTGGGGTATAAATTACACACACGCTGGCTCTTTGGATTTTTTCCAATAATATATAAACACATTAATAATTTAAATAATTTTAAAATGATTTAACTATTTTAGGATATTTATATATATGGATGTCGAACAGCATAGAAAGTTGTTCCAAATTAAGTAATTTTACTGAACAATTCATATAAAATAGTACCAATTCATATAAAATAAACATCTGGTATGAATTAGTCATTATTTAATTATATTTGAAGTTTTACCACCTTCAAATATTTAAATTATTGATATGGCTTACTAGTTGTGAGAAATTGCCTAGTTATTAGTAAGAATTTAGCCACATTCTGTCATCACTTCCCGAGACAGTGAACAAACTATGCAAATTTTAAGATCAGGAAGATTTAGACCTCAGAAAGCAGAATATATACTCCAGATACCAATTACGGGACTGTAGTTACTTACACTGTGAACTCCCAGTGCTTTCCAGACTGCAAAGCTGATCACGCCAACCCCGCACCAGGCACACAGCGAGCCCCACCCCAGGGCTCGCAAGGCAAGCGAAGACCCGCTCTCCGGGAGGGCGGCGGTGGCCACGCTTCCCTGCAGTGAGGGCAGAAAGGTTGGGGTAAAAATCATCAATTCAGAATGAATAAATATGCGGGGAGCATTTAACATGAATGTTAAAAAACAGTAAACATATAAAAATATCCCAAGAGAAACCTTTAAAATTTCTATAAAACTATTTATAACTTACATTTCTACGTTACTGAGAATGAACATTTTCCCAACTTATCGCGAACCAAATATTTATGCCTTTTGAATTGCATATTTATGTGATTTGCCCAAGTTTTCTTATTTGTACATTCTCTTTATATATTAATGTCTTTTAGCCCTTATATCTATCATATGTGCTATTCTATTTCTCCAGTTTGGTCTACTTTTAACTCCTTCTATTTTGCTTTTTTGTTTTTGGTCAAAGTGCATTCTAATGCACTTAAGCTTACAAAAACTTCCTCTATTCTAAAATTACAGTCATTTTTCTTTTAGTTGTATTTTTATTTTTAAATTGTCTCTTCTTTTTACCCCTAACTTTTTAGATCATCTGGTTATTTATTTTGGTTTTGACAGGAGCTGGTGATGACAGGGAGTTTACTTCCCGAATAGCTTAGCAACTGCGCCAGCACCACTCCATCAATTAATCCTTCTCCCAACTTATTTGAGAAACTTACATATAGAGAGGCTTATACCTATTTTATTATCTATTTTTATGCCAGAATCACAGATTTCATTATAGAATCATAAAGTCTTAATATCCAGAAAGTATATCATACTCACTACTTTTTTCAAAATTTTCTTTGTTTCTGCCTATTAATTCTTCCAGAAAAACCCTTGAACATTCTGTCAAGATTTCTCTAAACCCCAAACTGGACAAAAAACCCACTCATTGGCATTTTCATTAAAATGACATCAAACTAATTAAATAATCTGATAAGAGATAGCAAATT